GCACAATTCATAATTGCAAGGCTGTGGAAACAGCCCAAGTGCCATCATGCACGAGTGGATTAATTAAAACGTGGTCTGTGTACACCATGGAGCACTACTCAGCTCTGAGAAACACGGTGACCCAGCACCTCTCGTGTGTTCCTGGCTGGAGCTGGAGCCCATCCTGCTAAGGGAAGCATCCCAAGAATGGAAACACAAGCACCACGTGCGCTCACCAGCAAACTGGTGTTGACGGATCAGCACCTAAGTGGACACACAGGAGTGACATCTGTCGGGTGTCGGGCAGGTGGGAGGGGAGGAGGGGACGGGTGTAGACAGACACGACGAGTGAGACGTGCACCGTCTGGGGGATGGGCACGCTGAGGCTCTGACTCGGGGGGAAGGGGGCAAGGGCAATATAGGTGACCTTGACACTTGGCCCCCCATAATATGCTAAAAGAGAAAAAAAAAAAAAAAAGAGTGGTTGCTTGATGGATAGCCAGATGGACGCTGAATAAAAACGCTCCAGTTAAAATAAATGGGTCGTAAAGCAGCGGGGACAGCTGGCAGCAACAACAACGCATGTGGCCTGGGAACTGCCACCAAGGGCCAGGCAGTGGCGGCTCGGGACGTTTTGCAAAGCTGACAGGAGCCTTGCAGATGAGGGGCGCGGTGGCCGGCCATCGGAAGCTGACAACGACCAGCTAAGAGCCGTCCTCAGGGCTGGTCCCCTCCCAGCTGCACGAGAAGGTGCCACAGGACTCAGGGTCAGCCGGTCTGCGGTCATTGGCATTTGGAGCAAATCGGAAAGGCAAAAAAGTGACCGAAAAAAAAATCGTTTGAAGTGTCTTCTTGCACACAGACAAACCCATTCTCGATCAGATTGTAACGTGCAACGAAAAGCGGATTTTTTTACAACCACCATGCACGGCCAGCTCGGTGGTTGGACCAAGCAGCAGCCCCCAAGCCAAACCTGTCCCCAAAAAGGTGACAGTCAGCATTCTCTGGTCTGCCGCCCGTCTGGTCCACCTCAGCTTCCCGCATCCTAGTGACAAAACCGTCAGTCCGGGAGGCGCGTGCTCTGCGAAGCTGGCAAGGCCTGCGGCCGGCGTGGGTCGCCGGAAAGCGCCGATCGGTCTCCACGACAACGACCGGCCCATGTCGCCCAGCTTCAGAAGCTGACCGGACTGCGCTGCGAAGTTGTGCCACCTCACTGCGTTCACCTTGACCTGTCACCAACCCGACTCCCACTTCTTCATGCATCGCGACAACTTTTTGCGGGGAAGATGCTTCCCCGCCCAGCAGGGTGCGGGAATAAGCAGACCGACCCCTCGTCGGCAAAAAATGCGTCCATTGCAGCGCTTCCTATTTTGATTGCTAAAGATGCATCTGGACGCCTGTCATCCCAGCACTCTGGGAGGCCCAGGCGGGAGGATCGCCCGAGGTCAGGAGTTCGAAACCAGCCTGAGCAAGAGCGAGACCCCCGTCTCTACTATAAATAGAAAGAAATGAATTGGCCAACCAAAAATGTGTAGAAAAAAAAAAAAATGAGCCGGGCACGGTGGCGCATGCCTGTAGTCCCAGCTACTCGGGAGGAGGCTGAGGCAGGAGGATCGCTTGAGGCCAGGAGTCTGAGGTTGCTGTGAGCGAGGCTGACGCCACGGCACTCTAGCCTGGGTGACAGAGTGAGACTCTGTCTCCAAAAAAAAAAAAACAAGTGTCTGGGCCTAGTTACAATGGTTTTAAAATTCACAGCCCGAAACCGCAGTGGTATTTTTGCAGCAAGCCAATGCGATGTGTGTGTCGATGCTTTTTGTTTTCAAGGGACCTTCCCGAGACTCCGCGAGCCCCTTTCCCGGTGCCTTCGCTGCCCAACGGCCACGCCAGACCGGGCAAGCCTCCAGGGAAACCTGACAGGTGAGCCTGCGCCGCCTTCTCCCTCCCCTCCTCTCTGCTTCTCTGCTCCCCCCTCCTCTCGGCCTCCACTCTCAGCCTCCCTCCTGCCTCCCCCAGTCTAAACCTGCGCGTCCTGCAGCCCAGCCCTGACGCTTCTGTCCCCCCTCTTTTGCAGACACGCAAGCGGATGATCACATGGAGGGAGGCGAAAAGGCTGAAGCAAGAAAGCAGAGTCCATGGTCAGTCTTGCTCTCTTTATCCCTCTGGGCTCCAGCGTCCTCTGATCAGGTTAAAACCAAATCCTGTGGTGTCCTGTCTGCCACCCTGCATGCCACGCCACGGGGCGGGCTGCCTGGCACAGCACACGGGACACGGGACAGGACCAGGACGAGCTGCAAGAGGTTCTTGGCGCAGGTACTGTCTCCGGCTCCGCGGATGGAGTCTGCTCTCGGAAACGCGCAGAAGTGCTGTCCGCTTCATACGTGTCGCGGCGTGCCTGCGGCGACCACCACACGCGTGATTTTCCGTTCCCACGGAATCGAGTCGTCGTAGACTGTGCGTGCACCCGAGTCCTGCGCTTGCAGCCCCGTTTGCATTCCCCCCGACACATCTCGGGCCGGGGATGCTCTGTGCGCTTCCAGATTGATCTCAGCCCTTGCTCTCGGTGCGGGCGCGATGGCTCGTGGCGGCCCACGCGTGAACAGTCACGGGAGATTCACGTCACTCTTTGTTTCTTTGCTGCTTTTATTATATCCAAATAATTTTCACTTTATTTGTTTTTTTTTGGACACCAATTTGAGATCTGTAGGTAAAATGACTTCTGTTTTCTAGTAGAGACGGGGGTCTCGCTCTTGCTCAGGCTGGTCTCGAACTCCTGACCTCGGACATCCTCCTCCTCGGCCCTCCGGAAGTGCTGGGGATGACAGGCGGTGAGCCAGAATTCTTCCTTTTCTCCTAACGAATGTTGCGAAGGAATCGCAGCGGGGCACGGCAGCTGCGGCGCCGTCTTCCGGGGCAATGGGAGCGACGGGCGGGCCTTCAGTGGTGCGGTCTTTCCCCGCCTGACTGCGGGCCGTTCTCCTGCAGACAGACAGGGTGGAAAGGCGTTTCAAGTACCTTGGAGGCGTCCGGCCTTCATCGAGTGGCGGGGTTAGCCATGGAGGTCCGGACAGCCCCGCCTGCAGGGCGGGCCTACTCGTCTACGCGGACGCCGTGGACCTCATTAAGTAAGTGGCGGGTCACTTTGTGCTCTTTCTTTGTTTTTTTTGTGTGTGTTGTGTCAGCCTCGCTCAAACAGCCTCCAACTCCTGGCCTCAATCAATCTCCTCGCTCAGCCTCCAAGTAGCTGGGACTACAGGCATGCGCCACCATGCCTGGCTAATTTGTTGTCCTATTTTATTTTATTTTATTTTTATTTATTTATTTTTGAGACAGAGTCTCACTCTGTTTGCCCAGCTTAGAGTGAGTGCCGTGGCGTCAGCCTCGCTCACAGCACAACTCCAACTCCTGGCCTCATAGCGATCCTCCTGCCTCAGCCTCCAATTTAGGCTGGGAACTACAGGCGTGTGCCACCATCCCGGCTAATTTTTTTGTATATATATATTTTATTTGCGTCAATTAGTTTCTTCATATTTTTAGTAGAGATGGCCTCACCACTGGTTTCGAACTCCTGACCTCGAACAATCCTCCTGCCTCAGGTCTCCAGAGTGCCTAGGATCACAGGAGGGAGCCACCGCACCTGCCTTCTATATATTTTAGTTGGCAATTAATTTCTTCTTTTTTTAGTAGACACGGGGTCTCGCTGGTTGCTCAGGCTGGTCTCAAACTCCTGGCCTCAAGCGATCCTCCGCTCGGCCTCCCAGAGTACCGGGATGACAGGCGTGAGCCACCCGGCCTGTTCACCTGCCTTTCAGTGGGCTCCGTAAGAGCAAAGCGACTGGGCTTTCAAGAGGCATACGTTCTGCACATGGAGCCGGGCGGGTCCCAAGTGGCCCAGATTGTGGCCGAAGCCGGATTTTCTCTGGCGGCTGCCCTCTTGTGTTCGGGAAAAGTCAGCACACAGCGGAGGGAGCGTGGATGAGATTGCCATTTTTGCGTTTGGGGATTTTTTTTCCCACTTGGCTCTGCTTAACCGATGCGCTTCTGTGTTTTCCTGCAGATCGTGGATGTCACTAAGAGCCTTCTCCGAGGCGACATCGACACAGGGAGGAAAATATTTGCCGGTTTTGTGGTGTGTATGTTTCCTTTGTTCGCAGTAGTGATTTGCTTTGCCTCTTTTGTTGTCACAGAAAAGATTTTGAATTGTATTCTTTGGAGACAGATCTCACTCTGTTGCCAGGCTAGAGTGAGTGCCGTGGCGCCAGCCTTGCTCACAGCAACCTCAATCTCCTGCCTCAAGCGATCCTCTGCCTCAGCCTCCCGAGGTAGCTGGGACTACAGGCATGCGCCACCATGCCCGGCTCATTTTTTTATATATAATATATAGATATATATATATATATATATATATATAGGCAATTGATTTTATTCTATTTTTTAGCAGAGACGGGGGTCTCGCTCTTGCTCAGGCTGGTTTCGAACCTCCTGACCTCGAGCGATCTCCCGCCTCGGCCTCCCAGGAGGCTAGGATCACAGCGTGAGCCAGCACGCCCGGCCTGATTTGTATTCTTAACATGAAAATTCATGATAAAAAACAAATCTGCACCTTGGTCCGTGGCAAGCAACACACATGATTGGAGAGTATGGATGCGGATGGTGTCTGCTGCCATCCTTACTCATGAACTCAGCAGGTGCTCTGGTCTTAGGACCGAAATTATATCCTCCATATATTTGTGGTTTTCCACCAATATTCGCTTTTTGAGCAGATCCGATGAACAAGTGCGAGTAAGATTCTTTTTTATTTTTTTATTTTTTTCTTTTTTTAAATTTTATAAATAAACACAATTTGGGCTTACTTTTTTTCTTTTCTTTTCCTGGGTGGGAGTGATTTTGTAAGTGAGACGAGGCAAGTAAGATTCTCGATGGTGGGAGGATGAGGCGGCTCGAGTTGGTCGCCGTGCTGGTAGAAGTCTGGACAGTTGTATTCCCTAGTAGCAGATCTGGTTCATGACCCAGGCACGTGGCCCTTACACTTGTACCTTCTGCTCCTGGTCCCGCAGCATGCGTTGCCAGTCCATCTTGAACATGGCCAGTGTCCGCTGCAAAAAAGGACATAGCAATAAAGTCATTCTCGAACCCTCGCGGACCACTTCGTGGGACTTCCTCCAGAGCGGCCCAGGCGCCTTCACCGTGCCTCGCAAGGTAATCGTAAATCTGATCGAAACATCTTCCCGGGCGGAGTCAGGGTCTTCACGTAAATTGGTTTTTGCATCTTTGTGCAAGAGTTGCCTCTTGCCAACTGTGCTGTGCATGTGGTCTGGCTTGGCTTTTCAGACAATTTCTGGCTTCGGCTCTGTGTGCTGGTTGCTCCCTAGTCATGCAGCCTCTTCTGCCTTTTTGAGAATAGGTCAGACAAACCAAGGATTTTGCTGTCGGGTGACATGAAAAGTAACTGCAGGGGGCGCAGAGTGCAGAGGATGTTTAGTAGGAAGCCCGGGAACACACAGCACAGAGCAGAGCGGGAGGCCCCCTCTCCTGGCGTGGATAACACGTCGTCTGGGCGTTGGCAGTAAAGGAAGGGACTTTCAGAACATGTTGCCCTCCAACCCTCTCCAGTCACGCCATTGGATGCTAACGAATGAAAATCAGGATCTCCAGGGATAGAATGCGCTGTGTGTCTCTGTAGCCCACTTGGTCCGAAGTAAAACCCAGATGCTCACCTCTAGTTGCTCGCATGAGGGCAGCGTGACGAAGCAGACATCCCTGTTGCAAGTGGGTTGAAATCAGCGCATTCGTGAGCGCGACGCCCGCCGCACGTCTGTTGGACCTCGCGTGAGCCTGTGACTGTTGCGCAGCCTTGGACGGGGGCACACTCCTTGGAAGTTCGGGCCGAGTTCAGATCTGGCGTCTGCTGTTCTTTTAGAAGAGTGTGCTCCGACATGACTGGCCCCATCTTGTCCCAAGCACTACTTTCGACTCGAATCGTCAGGAGAACTTTCACACCACCCACAACGGCCTCTTCACTTCAAATAAGGAAAGTTGGGAAGTGAGAGCGAATAAACTTTTTTTTTTTTTTTTTTTTTTTCCAAACACAGTGAGTTTACTCGCTCTCTGAGCGTCAGCCAGGCGTAAGCGGTGGTTGTTGTCATGGAGTGTCAAGCCGTACGACTCACACGCAACCTACAACTCCTGGGGTCAATGACATGTGCATTTCGGGCTCGGATTTTCGCCTCTGCACCCAGTCAAGCGCCTTACTTCTCAGTACCTGTCGCTCATGAGCAGAGACAATGCGCACACCCTAACCAACACACAGCGCCGGTCATCCTCTTGTTTTTTGCTTCGTGCCTCATAGCCTCACTTTATTGTTTCTAGTCTCGCAATCTAATTGCTCCATAGGTTGGTTTAAAATTAGAAGACGGACCAGGTACATCGCTCGCTTGCTCAGGCTGCCCGGTCCCATTATTGAAACTCCTATGAACCTTCACCATCGCGATGCGATCGCTCCCGCCATATGGCCTCCAGGTGCTGGGAGCAGTACATTCTTATCTCTGAAAAATTCGACACGTGCCCCCCGCGATCGTGGGATGTGTCCTCATTCCAAGGCTTTATATTGAACGTTGTTGGGGGGCGTGGACAGGACCCAGTAACGCTCGGTACTCGGGGTCGCCTCTCTCCTCCTGGCCGGTTTCTCCCGTGTTGAGCCACGTTGGAAGGGAGGCCCGTGTACAGGCCCGAGTCCACCGCAACAGTGACCGTCCACGAACCTCGCAGGCCGTGCGCCGACTGGGAGGGGGTGGAGCTATGAGGAAGGATAACCCACATAGCATTGACGCGCCGGCCGCCGGGCGCGGCTCGGAGCGGGGACCCCGTGGCTCACCCATCGGGTGTGGGGACCCTCACGCCAGGTCCGCAACGTTCCTCAGCAGAGCCTGCGTGCGTGATAGTTTCTCCTAGCTCGCGTGCTGTGAGACAGCCTAGTCAACACGCCAGAAGATTAGTAAGATGTACCTTCTGCTTTCGTGGGTGATGGCGCCGTAGCGTAAAGGGAGGGAGACAGAATATAAAGTAGGCAAAGAGAGAGAAAACGAGAAGGAAGGCTAGGATGGGAACCCCGCTGCCGAGAGTGAGGGTGTGCCCCCTCATGGGGTTTAAAAGAAAGTGCTGGCGCGCCGGGGGGGGGGTGTGCTCGGTCATTGTTGGGATGGAAGCATGGGGGTGGCGGGAGTGCAATACGGACCATTCGTGGGGGTCTTCACTGGGAACTGGGGATGTGTCGGGATAATTAATCCTTTCTCACTGCAAACCACCCGGTAGAAAAGTAGTGCAAAAATCTATTCTGATTTTTCACCTCTTTAAGAATAAATTGAGGCCGGGCACGGTGGCTCACGCCTGTCATCCTAGCACTCTGGGAGGCCGAGGCGGGAGGATCGCTCAAGGTCAGGAGTTTCAGATTGGCCTGAGCAAGAGCGAGACCCCGTCTCTACTAAAAAAATATATAGAAAGAAATTAATTGCCCAACTAAAAATATATAGCAAAAAATGAGCCGGGCATGGTGGGGCATGCCTGTAGTCCCAGCTACTCGGGAGGCTGAGGCAGGAGGATCGCTTGAGCCCAGGAGTTGGAGGTTGCTGTGAGCGAGGCTGATGCCACGGCACTCACTCTAGCCCGGGCAACAGAGTGAGACTCTGTCTCAAAAAAAAACTAAAAAGAATAAATTGACGGCTAAATTTTTGTGTAATATTAACTACCTTTCTCCAAAATGTAGCATTAAAAAAAAATTTTTTAACGTTTTTAGTTTTTAAAAAATTTAGTAAAAAATGTATAAACAATACTTTTATTTTATTTCTTTTTTTTTCCTTCAAGTTTATTAGAGCGGTGCAAAACAGTAGCAGTGTAAACACAAACACTTCATTATTGCATTATTAAAAGTAATGAATAGGCCGGGCGCGGTGGCTCACGCCTGTCATCCTAGCACTCTGGGAGGCTGAGGCGGGAGGATCGCTCAAGGTCAGGAGTTTCAGATTGGCCTGAGCAAGAGCGAGACCCCGTCTCTACTAAAAAAATATACAGAAAGAAATTAATTGCCCAACTAAAAATATATAGCAAAAAATTAGCCAGGCATGGAGGCGCATGCCTGTAGTCCCAGCTACTCGGGAGGCTGAGGCAGGAGGATCGCTTGAGCCCAGGAGTTGGAGGTTGCTGTGAGCGAGGCTGATGCCACGGCACTCACTCTAGCCTGGGCAAGAGAGCGAGACTCTGTCTCAAAAAAATAAATAAATAAATAAATAAATAAATAGTAATGAATACACAACTGCATTAACTCCCCTTAGAGGCAGAAAAAAATAAATAAGGAAATAAAGTTATAAATAAGTTAAATTTAAAAAAGAAAAAGAAAAAGTAACGCATGGTTGTCAGGTGCCATTGCAGGGAATGTCTCTTACTTGAGAATGGACAGAAACACGGAGCACCCCCGTGTGACGTAGTGACTGTCGCCCCACCTACCTTGTGTCCCCCGGAGCTTCCCGAGCCCTTGCCCTCGACTTTTCTGTGCTTGGGGACGCAGGAGTCCTTGTGGCCGCTCTTGCTGCCGCTGGCACTTTGAGGAGGGTCCTGGCCGCAGGCGTCGGCTTCCCGCCTGGACCGCTTGTGTGCAGGCTTGGCGGGCTTCTGGGAGGCGGCGGCGGAGGACGAGGAGGAGGAGGAGGAGGAGGAGACGGCTGGGGGAGGAAGCATTTCCTTCCTTGAGGGCTCTGCGCAGGGCCGGGGCATCCTGGAGGGAAGCACCATGAGAGACTCAGTGTGGGCAGAACAACGAGTGAACTGGCCTTAGCTGTTCCGGTGACAAAGGACAAACTTCACCGGCCACCGGCACAACAGACTGTGCACGAAATGACGCCTGCAGGGAGGCTGAATTTCAGGGACCTTTTGATGCCTTTGAGCAATCTTAGCCCTGTGCGTTTGCAACAAACGAAGTCCCATGATGTTCACTAAGCTTGCGGAGTCTGCCACCGGTCCCAACCCCTAAGCCTGTCCCCTGCCCAGCTGCAGCGCCACTCCGGTCCCCTCTCTCTCTCTGTCACTTCCCCTGTTGGCTCCCGCGGGG